GCTCTGAGAAGGCTTTTACGAAGACAGTACATAAAAGCTGTTCTCTCCTTACCCAGTAAGCTTTGCGGACTGTAAAGCTCCACCAGTAATGCGCTTTGATGCTGTAGCTGTTGCTAAAGCAACACATAGTATTTACATAGACATTGGATTTCCATCCACACGATTTTATTACAAAGATAAACATGGCTTAATTTTTTAAGCATTCTTTCTATTTGGTATCCAGCAGTTTTCTCACAGCACAAGATATTTGTTTTGCTAATGAGGTCAAGAGTGTAAGGCTTCTTATTCATTGGGATGAAACATTATGTGGTGTATTTTATAAACATTTTCTGAACTATTTCACTGTTTTGGTATAAAACTTTCTTTCTATATGATTTTTTAAAAAGTGAGCAGGACAGAGAGAGAAGAAGAGAGAAACATCCATATGAGAGAGAGAACTATTGATCAGTTGTCTCCCATATACATTCCAACTGGGGATCCAATCCACAATCTGGAAATGTGCCCTGACTTGGAATAGGACCAGCAACCTTGCTGTGCATGGGATGATGCTTAAGAAACTGAACCATAGAAGCCAGGGCTCCTTGAAAGCTTTGAATGTGCTCCCTACTAATGTGACTCTTTCTAGTGTTCTAAATTCACTATCTCCCATTTTCTAAATTTTTTTCAAATCCACTAAAGGGAAAGTGAGTGAACAATCTCACTAACACACAATAAGTATCTTTATACTCAGGGATAACCTCAATCATATTCATATATATATATATATATTTTAAATTTAATTATTATTATTATTATTATTATTATTATTATTATTATTATTTTTTTTTTTTTACTGATTTCAGAGAGGAAGGGAGAGGGAGAGATAGGAAAATCAATAATGAGGGAGAATCATTAATGGCCTGCCTGCTGCATGCCCCCTACTGGGGATTGAGCCCCATCCATTGCCATTTCTTGACTGGAATTGAACCTAAAACCCTTTAGTCTCCAAGCCGATGCTCTATATCACATGTGTCAAACACAAGGCCTGCGGGCCAAATCCGTCCCGCCAGGCCTTGCAATGTGGCCCCCACCGCGCTGTCATCACTGCACTTCGCTGCGTTTCCATCACAATGACAGTTTATGACTGTTCAGTAAACCATTCGCCCACGATTTAGGCTGGATTTTAGATTTTGGCCCCTTCTCTGATTGAGTTCGACACCCCTACTCTATATACTTAAGCAAACCAGCGAGAGCAATATTTTCAATCTTTATGGTCAAAGGAAGAATCCTGCCCTGTTATATGTAGATTTTCTTGCACAAACATGCATGTCCTTTTATTCTGTCTTGACTACCTGGAAGGGAGCCTCAGTGAAGGCACTTTTACAAAGTTAACTAAAATGTATAGGAGTTACAGTATGATTGTGAGTGCTACCCTCAAATATCAGTACATATGCCAAAAGTAAGAGGTACCAGATTATTATAATTTATCTCAGTTACTCTTGCTTTGATTATAGTATCAATTCATTATTGTTATGTAACAAACCATCCTAAAGTAAATATTTTCATATTATTCCTTTATTTTCCAATGGGTTTGTGTAGTGGGAAGATGTTCTGATCTCTCTGGTCTCCTCATGAGTCTGCAGTCAGCTATGCATCAGCGGGGGTGTCTCTGCTGACCTTTCTAATGTAACAGGGGCTCAGGTATGGTGACTGATCTAGGCAAACCAACTTGCAGAAAGATTAAATGTTGCTCAGCAAACTATTTCCAATCGTTTACAAGCAATGGAAAAATATGTATATTTTTTAAGATTCTTAAAGGAATGCTAATGGGTGTCACATCAATTGAAGAAAAGACAAATGGAAAACCGAAAAGTCATTAATAAAATGTTGCTTCATTGGCATGAAATTTTTATTTTATTTTTTTTCATTGAATTGTTACTGGCGATGAAAACGATTCATTTTGAGAATCCGAAATGTCCAAAGTCATGGGTTGATCCAGGTCAACCATTAACAACCGAAAGCCAAATCACTTTGGAAAGAAGACAAAGCTCTGTGTTTGGTGGGATCAGGAAGGTGTGGTGTATTATGAGCTTCTAAAACCAGGTGAAACTGTTAATACTGATTGCTAACAAACATTCAAGTTGAACTACACTTTAATTTTAAAACAACCAGAATATGCGAGAAGACATAGCAAAGTACTTTTGCTTCATGATAGTGCACCATCACACACTTCAAAACCAGTTAAAGATACGTTAAAAGATCTTGCCTAGGAAGTATTAACCCACCCACTCTATTCAACAGACCTTGCTCCTTCAGATTATCACTTGTTCTGATCAATGGCACATGCACTTTCTGAGCAGCACTTCAAAACATATTAAGAAGTAGAAAATTGGGTCTCTGAATGGTTTGCCTCAAAACAAGAGAAGTTCTATTGGTACAGTATCCACAAATTATCTGAAAGATGTAGCTAGTGATGGACATTACTTTGAATAAAGCACTTTTCATTTTCCTCTTGAAATTATTGTGTTTTCTATGATTACAAAATTTGCCATATTAACCAGTACATCTAATATATTTTAATTTTTTCTTCTGATGTTTTGAAATGTGTGACTAAGAAGTTAACTGACTTTTGTCAATGTTTCATGGGTGCTTAAAAAGGAGATGTATTATTTGTTTATAGGTTACAAAGTTCAATTATTTATCAGTTAATTAAAAGTTTATAATTCAGAAAAAAACCTAGTTCAGGCAATAATCAACAACAGATAACTACTTACCTTGATTATTGTATTAGTAAGGTATTGTTGCATGACAAGCCATCTTACAAGCAAATTATTTGATACTAGAGATGCTGTGCACTGATTCATGCACTGGCGGGGATTGGGCAGAAACTGGCTCTCCAACATCCCCTGGGGGTTCTGGATTGTGAGAGAGTAGAGGCCAGGCAAATGGACACCACCAGTGCATGATTGGGGCTGGAGAGGGACCCCAGGAGGGCTTCAGGGTCTGTCAGACATATCTCACCCAATCCCAAATGGCCAGACCCCAGCAACAAGCCAACCTACCAGACAGATCGTCTGCCCCCTTTTGATTAGTGTGCATCATATCAACTGATCAAATGATGAAAGATCAGTCACTTTGCATATTAAGCTTTTTAAAAATAGAATAATGCCATTATTACCAAGTGTGATTGTGTGGTGGGGAGCTTTTCTGAACTCCACTAATCTCTTTATGAATCTATAATCAGTTGTGAGTCTCTACAAGTGTTTTTAAGTCTCATTCATGATGTTTGGGTCCATGGTGATCTTCTTCCTTGAAACAGTATATATTCCATTTACTCTGTTTCTATATCTACCTTTATCTTCTATCTTAAAGAAAAGAAAGTGTACGGAGTGTGAATTGCTTTATTTTACTTCTACTATCCCTATATCCATGAAAGTTAGCTTTTTTTTTCCAGGTAGAAGAGATTCCTCCCACTAGCAGAGGTCCAGATCCTGGCTTTTTTTTCCTTCTAGGATTCTTATAAGTATAATTACATCATGTAATTGGAATATGATTAAAATTTACAATTTGATGACTAAAGGCATTCAAAAATTGCAGTCTATGTCTCATGTTTTTAATATTAATAGATGTTTTGTGTTATTTTTTGTTAATCCTTAAATGAGGATATTTTTCTTTGATTTTTACAGAAAGTTGAAGAGAGAGAGACAGAGATGATTTTCCGGAAGATGATGACATGATTGTCATTGAATAAATGAGTAAATTCTTGATACTGTAGGATTCACAGTTTTTCCTGTTTGTGTTGACAACTACCATACTACCGTACTGTGTACAGGTAATAAATTTCCTTTATTTTCATTTAACAATAAATGTGTACCATATTCTTCTTCATGGAAAAATAAGACATCCCCTGAAAATGAGACCTAGCGCATCTTTGGGAGCAAAAATTAATATAAGATACTGTCTTATTTTTGAGGAAACAGGGTATTAACAAGTCAACAAATGATAAGTGCTGGTGAAGATGCTGAGAAAAAGGAACCCTCATGCACTGTTGGTGCGACTGCAGACTGGTGCAGCCATTGTGGAGAACGGTATGGAGTTTCCTCAAAAAACTAAAAATTTGACCCAGTGACCCCACTACTAGGAATATATCACAAGAAACTAGAAACACCAATCAGAAAGGATACATGCACCCCTATGTTCATAACAGTACAATTTTCCGTACCTAAGATTTGGAAACAGCCTAAATGCCATCAGCAGATGAGTGGATTAGCCAACTGTGGTACATCTACACAATGGAATACTATGCTGCTGTATAAAGGAAGGAACCCCTACCATTTGCAACAGTATGAATGGAACTGGGGAGCATTATGTTAAGTGAAATATGCCCATCAGAGAAAGATAAATATCACATGATCTCACTCATTTATGGAATATAATGAACAACATAAACTAATAAACAAAACCATATCCAGAGATAGAGAAACATCAATCAGACAGTCAAACCTAAGATGAAAGGTAGGGGATGGTGGGGTAAGGTGGAGAAATCAACCAAAGATATGCATGTGTCTAAGACTAACCAATGGACACAGACACCAGGGGGGTGAGGGCATGAGTAGGGAGAGTGGGAAGACAATTTGGGGGGGGGGGTGTCAAGAACAAATATGTAATACCTTAATAAATAGGGAAAAAATAATAAAAAAGAAAGGAAAGAATAATGAACATATAAGTGAAAATTGTGGTTAAAATTTTGCTGTAAAATAAAATAACGCAAATGACCTTAGTATCCAACTATAATTTTGTCCACAGGGGTAGTATAATTTCTTACAGGAAAACAATAGAAAAATTACTTGGGATGAAAAGTGATAAAATATTGAATTATGCTAAAGTAATTTGTGTTAACCTAGGAGATAAATGAGAGTTTCCTTTTATATAGGGTCCAAATATTGGATTAATTTGTGGCAGAACTTCTAGCTCTGCTGATTTGTACCCATACAGCCCAGTACAGTTGTTCCTTGAAGAGCTTACCTGCCAAGAAATCTTTTCAGGGACCCTTTTATGTCCTTGTTCCTGAGACTGTAGATGAAAGGGTTCAGCATGGGTGTGACCACAGTGTACATCACCGAGGCTGTTGCACTTGAGTGTGCACTGTGGGTAGCAGTAGAGCTGAGATAAACTCCTAGACTCGTACCATAAAATAAGGAGACAACTGAGAGGTGAGACGCACAGGTAGAAAATGCTTTATACTTCCCCTGAGCTGATGGGATTCCCCATATAGAGAAAAGTATCTTAGAGTAAGAGTAAAGGATCCCAGCAAAGGGACCAACAGCCAACAGCCCAGCTGAAGAATACATCAGGATGTTGTTAAGGTAGGTGTCAGAACAGGCAAGTTGGACCATCTGATTGACTTCACAGAAAAAGTGGGGGATTTCCAAGTCTGAACAGAAGGACAGCCTCAACACCATTAAGCTATGTAGCAAGGAATGCAAGACACTCATGATCCAGGAAACCAGAACCAGCAGTCCACAGAGCCGGGGGTTCATGATGACCATGTAATGAAGAGGGTGGCAGATAGCTATAAAACGGTCATAGGCCATTACTGTCAGAATAAATTCGTCCAACCCAGCAAAAAGTATGAAAAAATACATCTGGGTAATGCAGCCTTCATAGGTGATTTCTTTGCTCTGTGTTTGAATGTTACACAGCATCTTTGGGACGGTGGTGGAGGTGAAACAGATGTCTACCAAGGACAGGTTGGAGAGGAAAAAGTACATGGGCGTGTAGAGGTGGGAGTCTGAGCTGATGGCCAGGATGATGAGCAGGTTTCCCAACACAGTGATCAGGTACATGGAGAGGAAAAACCCAAATATGAGGGGCTGCAGTTCCAGTGCCTGTGAAAGTCCCAGAAGAACAAACTCTGAAATTTGTGTACCATTGCCTGGTTCCATGTGTCATAAGTGACTACCAGAAAATAGAAAAAATGGAAAACAAGTTTTCATATTAGCAGGATTTGAAACTGAGAATAAATGACATATTTATGTTTTGGAACCAAGAATGTAATTTCCATGTTTGGTGTTTAACTTGGTCCCCATTATGGTATCTCTATTAGCATTTGTCATGAGAATATCCTTTCCTACAATCTACCTGTTCTTCAAACATAATGTTTATTGCTGTTTTATTGAGGATATCACTCATTCATTTAGGGAATATGCAGTATATTGACTACAGACCATTTCAGGCACATTTTAGAGAATGGTATGCTGAAAAACAAAGTCCTTACAAACTAATCATGGAGAAAGAATATAATCAAATAAAAATAATAAAACATATGCAGTGGGGCAGCTGCTATAAACAAAAGTAAATCTCATTAAAGAAGAGAGTGGAGAGAGGGTGTTCTTTTTTATAGAGTGTAGCCAAGACTTGCCAAAGATGACACTTAAACAGATACCTCATAGATCACTAACTGGGAGAATGAAGCATAAGTGTTTTCCAGGCAAAAGGAACAGGCTGTGCAAAGACCTTGAGGAAGATGATTGTTTAGAAAACCAGGGCTCAAAATGAGTCAGAGTATCAAGCAGAATGAACACAGCAAAGCAGGATCAGAGATGTCAGAGAATATTTAGAAAAATGGTCACTTGTGTGCTGCTGTTGTAACTTCAGGTCATGGGGAGTGCCTTGTGCACACTTTGCAAATCTAGCACTTCATTAATCTGGTTGCAGGAGCATCTTGTGAATTGAAAAGAATCTCCTCCTTATATCTCCTCTTGATATTAGAGTCATATTGGAATATATCAATCCAGGCATTGCTCTCAGATTACAACACACACACACACACACACACACACACACACACACACACAGACACACACACACACACACAAAAATAGCACACCATGGCCTTTCCCCAACTGTTATTTCTTTGTCCTTCTCACACTGATACTATTTGGACTATAAGAAGATACAACTCTAGATGTCCAGATCAACTATCTTTTCCAAAAAGAATTTAGAAATAGTATATGGATATTCTCATAGTACACTTCTCATGGACAAATAAGGTTTACAATGCCCACTTTCTATCTTGTATTTAAAGAAACATGAACAATAAGTTAAACAAACATGCAGAGAGAGAAAGAGCAAGAAAGTGGACATGAGGAAAAAGAGATATTTAGTTAGCTCAGATAGACAACAAGGAAGAAAAACCTTCTTCAGATTCTTGTTGCTTTTCAACCTTAATTATATCCTCCTCAAAGCCAAGAAAAAGGAATAGAGGAGAAAAAATAAATTTGTCAAAAATACAAAAGTTTTTATAGATATATGATGTAATTACCTCAAGTGAACTCTGACAAAAAAATAAATCAGTAACTCACAAAAGGGAATATATAAAAACAACACAGGGTGAATATTTTCTAACATCAAGCAGTAGAAGACTATTTTTTTCTATGCCTCTTCTATATTTATTTGATCAGTTGGTCTTGATATGATTGATGGTAAATGAGGCAATACTTTTCTAACTTTTCTTATGAGGCATCATTTTTTTAATCTTAGTTTTGATCTTCATCCAATGTGCAAAGGCCTCTGAAGATGTGATCAATACATCCTGCACATGCCATGGCAATCCATTCTTCTATACTGAGTAACTTTCTTCATATGATTTAAGCCTGAGCACCTGGTCATACAAACATTTTTTCATTGTACACTGACTTCATCACAGTGCCAGGTCCAAACAAGCAGGGTTTCACCTGTTTTGTTCACCTTTGTATTTTCACAAATGTTTGTGAATATATGTGCACTTTGATAGGCAAACCTTGAAATAAATATGAAGTTATGAAGTGAAAAGAATGGCAGGGAGAATGACATCTGGTTAAACAGAGCAAATTCCAAGCAACTGTATTAAAGAAAATGGAGTGGAGCATCAAAGCCTAACAAAAACATGGTATAATAAATAGCAATAATTTAGGGTTAGTAACTTGGATTAGTAATCAAATTGGCAATGGCATAGACATAGAAGACAATCCATAATGTTTCTAGGAATTGTAGCACATAGTAGATGCTCCATTGTTATTTCTTGAATGAATCAGGAATTAGGTCTCAGTAAATAAGTGCACTGAAGCCATGGAAAGTCTGCATTTCAATATATTTGGAAACATTGAATTGTTTAACGAAAGCTGGGAATGTATTAACCTAGAAGGAAATGCAATTGTTCCCCTCCCTCAGTCACTTTAAAAAAAATCAGACTAATTGCCTACTCATTGTAAACGGTAAACAACCCTTTTTAAAAAAATGTACTTTATTGATTTTTTACAGAGAGGAAGAGAGAGAGATAGAGAGTAAGAAACATCAATGAGAGAGAATCATCAATCAGCTGCCTCTTGCACACCCCCTACTGGGAATGTGTCTGCAGCCAAGGTACTATATGCCCTTGACTGGAATCAAACCTGGGACTTTTCAGTCCACAGGCCAACACTCTATCCACTGAGCCAAATCGGTTAGGCAACCAATCTTTTTCATGTAAAATGATAGAAATCTGCATATTAATATGTATGAGTGGGCCAAACCATCATAATTAAGTCAAGAGACTTAGTAATAATGAGACAGACCTATTTAAGTAAATAAAATGTAAACATTTTAATGGCCAAATCATTTCCCAAAGTCAATTGAGAAATAATAATTTATATTAAGTTTTATTTTTAAATTTCATGGAATTTAGTGGGGTAATATTGGTTAATAATATTATATAGTTTTCAGGTGTACAGTTCTATCATAAATCAGATGTATAGAGTATTATGTGTTCAGCTCTCCTAGTCAAGTTTCCTTCTTTCACCAATTATTATTCTTTTACACTCTTCCATCTCTTCCACCAAAGTCATGTTTAGAAATAATTTAAAAGGCTAATAATGAAAGATTAATTGGCATATACAAATAATATTCAAATTAACAAGAGCATCACATATATAAATCTTTGACATAACTTAGAAAAAGTTCAGAAAACAAGAAAAAAATTCTTCCACATCTCTCAGCCTTCAGAAAACTTAAAAAGGTGTCATATTGATCAGGGTTGGATCTTGCAAACAGGTAGCTAAGGGGTACTCTATTTTTATTTCTGGAAGAACTTTAAGTGTTAAAACATTGGGAAACCAATCTGAAAATAGCTATAAATATTACAAGTACATTTATTCTTTCAGTCATGGTTTATCAATCTCTGGACTATTGACATTCTGGGCCAGATAATTGTCTGGGGTGTGGTCTCTCCTTTGCATCCCTGGACTCTACCTACCTACAACTTCCATGTGACTGACAATCATGTCTCTGCATATTGCTCAATATCCCCTGAGGGAACAATATTGCCCCTGGTTGAGAACCAGAATTTTAATGTAACAAATCCAAAATATTTTAATATTTTATATAATTGTTATTCACACTTTCAAAGTGTGGATAGCACAGCCACATCACAATATATTTTGTATTCATGATAATAATGAATTAGCATCACATTAACTGATTGGAGGAAAGATCATAATGTATTATTGAATAATAAAGAAGAGTAGACACATAGAAAAAAGACTGTACATAAAAATAATTTCTGTTGGGCACAGGATGCAATTTATGCATTTGTTTAATTGTATATGAGTGTGTATGTATCCAAAGCACGAAAGATATGTTTTTTAAAATAACTAAAAATTTATGGAGTATAGATTACAAAAGAATGAAATAAGATTAAGAACAGTGGTTAAAAGATCTGTATTAAAAAAATTAAGAATCAAATTAATATATATAAAGACAGATAATAAAAAAAATAATAATGATAATAACAATAATTTCAACATGGGCCACTAATTCTAGTTCATATTTCCAATAACTTGGAAAAAACTGGAATATTATAAAATATTAAAAACATATTTTTATTTATTTTATAGAGAAAGAAAGAGGGAGAGAGAGATAGAAACATGAACCATGAGAGAGAATCAGTGATTGACTGCCCTCTGCATACCCATATCAGGGACCACAACCCAGACTGACCAGGAATCTAAATTTGATGGTTCATAAGTTAACACTCAACCACTGAGCCATGTGTGGTGGGTATAATTGATTTTAAATTTGGAGGAAAGCAGTATCTTAAGCTATAGTTTCTTCTTCTATGAAGATATTGAGTTCAAATATGCTAATGGAAGGTAAAGGTAATCTTTAGTAAATAAAAGAGAATGCCTTCCAGAGGATAGTAGAAGATGATGCCTGTTTTGGAAACAGAGCTAACAACAACAATAAAAAAAATGAAAAATAAGGAACAATGGAGATGTGAAACAAGTTGTCAATCTGTGTATAGGGTGACTTATTACTGCTGCTTACACAGAACATTCACTTTCATTCTAGAGAGCAACGATTCACAAGTGAAGAATATAAAACTAACAGCTGAATATTTTTCATTAAGAAAAGTAAAAATTCAAAAGCAATGCATCTCACTCATATGCAATCTAAGTAACAAAATAAACATGAATGGAATGAATCCAGAGATAGGGAGACATGGAACACGGTGTGGAATCTCAGAGAGAAGGCTTGGGAGGGTTGGTGGGTGGGAGGTAAACAACCCAAGACCTTGTATGCATGTGTGCATAACCCATGGACACAGACAATAGTGTGGAGAACAAAGCCTTGGGGCTGGGGGGGGGGGGGGGCGGTGGCAGAGCTGGAAGGGATCAATGGAGGACAAAAGGGGAGACATGTACTACTTTTAACAATAAAGTATTTTTTTAAAACAAAATAAAATTTGGAAAAAGCAATGGAGAGAAAGCAATATGATTGACTGACAGGTTTGAGCCCACACTGTTAATAAACACTCACAATTGCCCACATATACACACATGAAGGTATCAATATTATACAACAAAGTGTGTGAAAGAAACCTCCAATTCCTTGTTGGGAAGAATGCAATCAAAAACAGGAATAAAAATAC